TACACGAAAATTTAGTTTAATGATTTAGATATTAACAAAAAAACCCCGACCGCCCGACCGAAATTTCGAATGTCATTTAATGCAAAACAAAAAAACAACTTTACGTGGCCTAAATAAATAAATAAATATATATATATATATATACCGTAAATTCTCGAAATAGCGGGCATCTGCGCGCTATTTCGAATACGCCCATGGGCGTTATTTTGAATATATTAGCAGATTTTCAGAATAGGGATGCTTAGTAGTCCACAAAGGACTGGTTTGGACCGGGTCTAGGATCGAACTTTTTAGGGTAGGTTCCGTAACTAGTCCAGATAAAGTGAGTCATGAATACTTTTGGCATTTCGCTTCCAAAATTATCTATATTGTATATTAAACTGCTGGGTTATACTGGACTTTTTAAGAACTGGGCCTTGATTAAACCGAACGGACTCTTTAACTTTCCTATTTTGAACCCGTTTTTTCAAAATACATAATAGTGAGGTGCGCGTTATTTGGGACGCACATGGGCGTTATTTTGAACCACGTATGCTATTTTTTAGGGCGCGATTTTCGAAAAACGCCCATGCCCACTATTTCGAGAATTTACAGTATATATATATTACAGAATAATGAAGAATTTGAACAATTCAGCTTAGAATTCGGTATGTGTAACAAATGTCAACTGGGAAAGGATTGGTGTAGCCTATATAATTCAACCCATTTTCAAGTCAAGAATTGAATTAGTAATAATGAAATAATCGATGAATTTATTCGAAAAAAACAGCTTGGAGCTTTGACTTGTGAAGAAGTTATTGAATAGATTCATTATGTAACTTGCAGAAGGAAAATCTAATATATATATATATATTCGCGGCAAAATGGGTCTATGGACATATTCTGAAATGGAATTATGACAATAGTGAATGGAGAGATGTAGTAACAATAAAACATACAGTTTAAAAAACCGTAATAATTTATCAGAATTTTTACATGAAGTAAGATAAACAAATATATTTTCTATATTTTATTACTGCGTTTTTAGATATAAAGTCAATTAAATGAAATTCGAAAAGTCCAAATCAATTTGGAATGCAAAATTACGCCGTCAGATTTTAATGTGAACGTTGGGATTTTAGTGTTAACATTTAAAACGATTAACAATATGAAAGCTTTATTTAACTGTATTACTGTAATGTGATAATAATGCATGTTGACAGGGGTCAACGGATCGAAAAGACAGGGAGCATTTGTCAAGGGCCAAACATCACGTGCCATGACCCCGGCTCCCAAAGGGTCGTTCGGAGAAGAAATCAACGTCAAATCACAAGAACAGGCTACGTAATCCCAAGCCACCGAAATAGTTAATATAAAAAGGGTCGTAAAAGGGCCGATTTCCACGCTTTCTTCATCGAACATCTAATTCATATAGTTAGCATTTCTCGATAAAAAAAAAAAAAAAAATCAAATCAAAAGGAAAAAAAAAAAAAAAATCAAATCAAAAAAAAAAAAAAAATCGAATTAAAAATCAAATCAAATCAATCGCAAAATACAAAACAACAAATAGATAATAATAAACGCAGCAACTGTAGTAGACCCGGCACTCCCCCAATCATGAGCCACAAAGAACCTGAGTCGCACAATGAAGATATTGGGAAACACACTTCGCTCCAAGCAGGCAGTGTTGCACCATCTCCCAACAGCACCACAGGGCTCAGGCGCCAAAGATCGGATGTACAAATCGATCCCCACATAAAGGCCTATATTGATGAATTGATCCGGGCATCAACAACATCTATCATCAGTTCTCTCAAGCAGTACACTGACACCCAGTTTGATAGACAGAGGTTATGGAACGAGCAGCTTCAGTTGAGCATTAACAACACACTTGCCAAGCTTGCACAACCAGATGTTGGCAGCAACAACAGCTCACATCCAGCATAGCCAACACCTCAGCATCATCACAACCACAGAGTTCAATGGAGACATCTGAACCGCAGGTAACAGATACAGCAAAGCAGGCTGCACAGGCTACAGGTAATTATCCCTCAACCCCAGTTCTGAACAATCTGATCATGGCAACATCAAAAGTAAGTCTTCAGCCACAGAGCCTGGTGGCAACACCAGAACCTGCACAACTTCCAGCGGCTCCCACAGTCACATCTGTATTCAAGTCAACAGCCAGGAGATATCCTTCTATCGATTACACAAAGCCTA